ACAAGAACAGAGCCTGTAGAATTATCTGAAAGGTGTACAAAAAGTAGATCAAGAATAAAGAAGGTAGTTTCCAGTTGATCTAAAAAAAAAAAAAAAGCAGCAGCTCTTGCCGAAACCTGTTAATATCCTAGCAGCACACAAGCAATAGAACAACATATGGCATTCAGTAACATTTTAATAGGTAACTCTGGTGGCCTTGTGGGTAAAAAGTATCACTGCCAACCCGAAGACCAATGGTTCAAACCCACTGCTGCTCCAAGAAAGAAAAATGGGCAGCCTTATCCTGTTACTTATAGCCTCTGAAAACCCACTGGAGCATGAGCTTTGAGTTGGTTATAACTTGGTAACAGTGTGAGAGAGAACATTTGAATGAATTGAAAATAAGTGGAACATTTTGAGATAATCATGAAAAGGAAAATGCATTATCTCTGGTACTGGTTTTGTTCTTGAACCACATTTTATGCAAACATACCAAAAAGTTATATCAAATATAACTGACCTGTGATATTTTAAAAGCAAATTTTTTTTACCTAAGATGATCATTGTGTTAATTTTTATTCATTGATTCTTATTTTCCCTTTTAGGTCAAAAAGCCCCCTGAAATAAATTTAGTTCTGTACCCTCAAGGCCTAACTGGTGAAGAAGTTTACGTGCAAATAGATTTGAGAGTTAAATGCCCACCAACCTATCCAGATGTGTGAGTACATTTGTAAATAGCTTTGATGTGCATTTCTTTTCTGTTGTGTCAACTAAAAAACAGGTTGAAATTAATACTGTTTTCTCCTTGCCCCCATGAAATATAACATTTTAGCTTATGTTACCTTTAATTCATCAGGAACACATTAAGGATAAAAAATTGTTGTGAAACTTCTCACATTTTAAGTCTGCTTATACTTGTAAGATAGTCCCTACAGGAATCAATCTTGGCACAGTGACTAATTGTGTCCTTCCTCTGAAATACTAACCTTTATTTGTTTAGTTCTTCATAAATTAGGGAAAGGAAAAATCCAGAAGAAAAAGATAAAGGTGTGGTGACTATTAAAGTGTATGTGCACTTAGTTTAAAAGTTGGATTGGCATTAGAAATCAGTAGCTTTATATGCTAGATAGGATCTTTTATTTCCCAGACTAAAGGGATGTTGAAAGTTTTGGTGCTTCTCAGTAGACAGTGCTGATGTCCATTGATTCCTTCTCACCTCTGTCCTATCCTGTGCCATCCTCACAGTTCTTGACACATTAGAGCCCATTGTGGCAATCAACCGTGTCAGTCCACCTGGTTTAGGGTATTCCTCTCCTTCACTGACCCTCCACCTTTCTGAGCATCACTTTTCTCTCCAAGAAATACCCTCTTCTAGCAACATGCCCTAAGTATTTGCCTCCAAAGAGCAGTTGGGCTGCACCCTTCAAGACATATTTGCTTGTTCTTTGGGTCATCCATGAGATATTCAGCACTTTTCTCCAACACCACAGTTCAAAGGCATCAATTGTTCTATCATCTTTACTCATTCTCCAGCTCTTAGATGCATAGCAAGTGATTGGAAAGACCATGGCCTGAATCAGATGCACCTTAATCCTCAAACTGACATCATTACTCCTCATTGTTTTAGAGAGTTCCCTAACTGCAGATTTTCTGAGTGCAATACATCTCCTGATTTCCTTACTACTGATGAGGGTGTTAATTGTGGACCCAGGTAAGATGAAGTTGTAGACAGTTTCAATCTTTGTTCCATCCTTCATGATTTTTCCTTTTCCTATCAGTCCAGTTGTAAGAATCTTTGTTTTCTTGACATTGAGATGCAGTTCAATTAAAGGTTGTATTTTTTGATCTTCTGCAACAATTGCTTCAAGTCCTCCTCAGTTTGAGCAAGCAAGGTTGTGTCATCTGCATGACAGGTTATTGATGAGTCTCCTTCCAATCCTGATGCCACATTCCTCCTCATAGAGTCCAGCTTCTTTAATAAGTTTAGCATACAGATTGAATAGTTATGGAGAGAGAATACAACCCTGATGCAACTCCCTTCCTAATTTTAAAGCATGCCGTGTTTCCCTACTGTGTTTGCACAACAACCTCCTGGTCTTATGTATAGGTTTCACATGAGCACAATTAAGTGCTTTGAGATTTCCATTCTTCCCAATGTTAGCCATAAGTTGTTATGATCCATGCAGTCATATGCCTTTGTATAGCAATAAAGCGCAGAATAGATAATTCTTCTGATACTCTTTGCTTGCAGCCAGGATTCATCTGACATCAGAAGTGATATCCCTGGTCCACGGCCTCTTCTAAATCCTACTTGAATTTCTGGCAGTTTTCTATGTACCATTCTAGCCATTTTTTAATGATTATCAGCAGTATTTTGCTTGTATGTTTTATTAATGATATTGTTCGATAGTTTCCACTTTTTGTTGGATCACCAACATTTCTTGGGAATGGAACAAATATGAGTATCTTCCAATCCATTGACAAGGCAGCTATCCTCTAAATTTCCTGACATAGACTGGTGAGTGCATGCAGGGCTGCATCTGTTAATTAAAACAAGTCAATGCCAGTGCCTTCAATGCAGTTTCCATGTTACTAAACTTAGATATATTTCTAGTCGTAGATTGGGATATAGATGTTATGGGAATACTGGATGGATCGCTGAAGCTCCATCTTGGCTAGTTATTCTTGTTTTCCTTTATTCTGGAGCATGTAAATGGGTGCACAGCATTGGACTGTTACCAGGGAACTGAACTGTCAGCTCAGCTAATTGATGTTAGAGCAAAGTCAGGGTCAAGAATTGCCTTTCAAGGGAGTACACGGTTAAGCTACACTCTGGGATCAGACACAGAACTAATATGAGTTTTGAAAAAAGAGACAAAACCCAGATTTTGTAATCTGGGGCAAATAAAAACCAACAGAAAATAGTTGATGTTGAAAATACAGGACATTTTTATCAGATCGTAAAGTTGAAATCATAAGCAGGGGCACAGGGAAGGAGAGAGAAGGTCAAATCCCAGGAAAGCTAGATCCCCTGGGAGATGGCACTCCTCACATTCCAGAGTAAAGCCATTGACCAGCGCTCTTCCTGCCCAGAGCACGCCCATGGCTTCAGACTGAGCCCTGTGTCAACTAGAATGGCTCAGATTGAGATTTAAAGAGAATGTTCCTGGGACATGCAGAGGTTCACATAAGAGACCTGTGAAATTCTTGAGCCCAATAGTTAGAATTTAACAAACACTATTGCAAATATGCTACATTTTAATGATTTAACAAACACTATTGCAAATATGCTACATTTTAATGTTTGTTTTCCTTCCTTTCCCAGTGTCCCTGAAATAGAGTTAATGAATGCCAAAGGGTTGTCAAATGAAAGTGTTAATTTATTAAAATCCAGCTTAGAAGAACTGGCCAAAAAGCATTGTGGGGAGGTAAGACTTGCTACACCAGAGAATTATGAGAACTTTAGACAATTTCATTAATGCTCACCAGCTTTTGCCTCCAGCCTTTCCTTTGGTTTTAAATGCTTTATCTGTATACCTCAAATTTAATTTGGACTGTAATACTTTGTTTCTTAGTGGTAGCTGCAAAGGAGATCATGGTGATTTGTATTTTTTTTTTTATTTCTAGCACTTAAAAATTATACTTTTTAGAATATAGCTTAATGATACTCTAAAACTTGCAATTAATAAATATTGCTTAGTGGTCCTTGGAGAAAGACATCACACTGGGAAAAGTAGAGAGAGGGTCAACGGGAAAGAGGAAGACGCTCACTATGATGGATTGGCACAATGACTGGAACAGTGGAGATTGTGAGGATGATGCAGGTTAGGGCCGAGTTTGTCAAGTTAGTCATCATCAACTCAAAGGCACTCAGCAGCAGCGGAGCCCTGATTCACAGGAATTGAAACACTCAGTTGCTAACTCAGCAGCTGCCCCATGGGAGAACAAGGAGGTAATTTGCCTCTGTAAAGATTGACAGCCTTGAACCCCTGTGAGATAGCTCTGCTCTGCCCTGTACAGTCACTATGAGGTGGAATCAACTCAGTGGCAACCAGTTTAGGCTTGTTTTCCTTTGTTTTTAATGGTGGTGTCAACATTTTTTCTGAAAACAGTCACTGTGGACTTGGTATATATTTTTGCGTATTTTGGGCCTGCCATTATGCTCTTGACTCAAACTTTTATGTTGGATAATGTTTACAAACAGGAAACATCTGACCGAACATTGTCATCCTTCACCTTTTCATACCAGAATGATTTTTTTCTTCATAATTAATGACATGCTTTACTTGACTCAGCAGCACCTAACAACTCCTCCTTTAGCACCCAATAACAGCTGCTCTGGTGGCCTAGTGGGTAAGGGGTTATGTTGCCAACCCAAAGGCAAGCAGTTTGAATTTACCAGCTGTTCTGTGGGAGAAAGATGGACAATCTTACATGTAATTTCAGCACCAAACAACCACCACTCCAATGTCCCTTCTATACCTGAGCATTTACATTTATTTCAGTACTAAACTGTGCTTGTGAAACCTCTCATAAAAGTTTTCCTTTGGGTATCAGAGCTCGAGGGCAAGCCTAGCTGGATTTTAGGGCCGAGCATAACTATGATTTCCTTCTTACTCCATCTAATCCATCTTTGCCTTGCTTTTATGTGATATTACTGTTTTTTACCTATGTAGCTCATGCTCAGTGATTCCCATCAAGCAAATTTGACAGGAATTAAGAGCTGTTGTTAGTATGTGTTGTCAAGTTGATTCCAATTCATAGTAACCCTCTATGACAGTAGAAGTACTCCATAGTGTTTCCTGAGCTGTTAAGGCTTTACAAGAGCAGATTGCCAGGTATTTTCTCCTATAGAACCACTAGTGGCTTTGAACTACTTATCTTCAGTTCAGAAGGCAAGCAGTTAGCCATTGTTCCACTATGATTCCTAGGTAAGGACTGTTTTTATGTACTCTCAAGTCAAAACCAACTCAGATCTGACCCTCCAGTCAGTTTTCAGAGGGAGTAAATAGCATGGGGCATTGCCCATCTTTCTCCTGCCTAACAGCTGGTGGATTCATACTGTGTACCTTTGGGTGACAGTACAACTCCATACGCACTGGGCCAACAGAACTCCCTAAGTAAGAGCTTGTTGTTGTTGTTATGTGCAGTCGAGTCGCTTGCGACTCATAGCGACCCTATGTACAACAGCCCTAAACTCTGTCCTGTGCCAATCGCACTGTCTCCGACACTCCATCCCGATTACCCCAGTCACTGAATCAATCCACCTCATAGAGGGCCTTCACCTCCTGCGCCATCCCTCCACCCTCCCAAGCATGATGTCCTTCTCCAAGGACCGGTCTCTCCTCACAACATGCATGTCCAAAAGTAAGGGCTAGTCCCGGTTAACTATCCTAAAGCTTCCTTATCTATTTTGGAGATCTAATAATCAGCCAATTAGATATACTTTCACCTGGATTCCATAACAGGGGATTACTCACATGTGTTAGGTATATGTATTCTATCCAGCTAAGTTGCTGTTTCCAAGAACTGTAGTGATTGATGAGGTACAGAAAATGGTTGTAGAAAAGCCTGGTCAAAACACTAGGCCTAGGGATTATTCCGAAGTTCTAGGGTCAAGGGACTCCAATATGTAAGTGAAAAATAATAAAAATTTATTTATAGAATGTCATCTAATTTCTTATTAATGAATTTCTTTTGCTTTATTTTCAACAAAACTTAGTATTTTGAGATTAACATGCAGTTGTAATAAATACTATAAAGATGAATACTATAGAGAGTACCTGGTGCCCTTCATGTGGATTCTTGCAGCAGTAACATTTGGAAGAACTTTAGTACATCATTATTGCTAGAATTTTGACATTAAGACAATCAAGATACAGAATAGTTCCCTCAGCACGAGTCCCTCACGTTCCCCTTCTATAGCTACCCTTCCCAACCCATCCCCTCTGTCATACCTGGAAAGTGCTAATCTGCTCTCTATTTTTATAAATTTGTCTTTTCAAGGATGCTACATAGATCGTCATATATTTTATGACCTTTGGGAAGTGGATTTTTTCCAGCCAGCATAATTTTCATCCGGGTTGCTGAATTTTTACCTTATTTACTATTATTACTTTTTGTTGCTCAGTAGCATTCCCCGGTTTGCTTTTTGACACATATCTGGTGTTTCCAGTTTGGGCTACTATGAATAAAATTACTAACATACATCTACAGATTTTGTGTAAACATAAGTTTTTTATTTCTCTGAGATAAGTGATCAGTACAGTCATAGATGGTAGTGAGTGGTAGTTGCATGCTTAGTTTAAGAAACTGCCACATAGCCACTGGTGAGAGTCAGCGCCCAGAGCCATCAGGGGCTTTAAGCTCGTTGCCCACTGCTGTGGTGTGGACAGTTGAAACCCAGGTCCCGACAGGCACCTGGGGAGGGGGGGAACACCCCAGACTCTACTTCATGCTCTGCTGGAGAAGGAGGGGCAGTCTCCTATACCAGTCAGATCCAATTTGACAGTACACACACACACACACACACACACACACACACACACACTTTTTCTTCTTCTTTTTTAAAAAAAGACTACTTCAGCCGTCGTGGCCCTCTGCCCGGGGCAGACTGCCCCCGGCTTGG